AATGTCTATTTTGGCTGAGCTATCAAATGTATTGGCAAAAGATATTCTTTTTTTAATTTTTGTTATAAAGATGTGGGGTACATTTCAGGGTTAGGTATATAAACATTGATCATGCAGTTACCCTTGTTGATGAGGGTATGCCCTTCCCTTCCCTAGCAGTTTCCCTCAAGTGCCTATTCCACTCCCCTTCCATGACAGTTTTGTTTTTAATCTCTGTAGCAGCTGTATTATTGCTCCTACAGCTTAATATTGTTTAGTTATGCTTCTTCTTGTTTTCTACCAATAAGCCAAAAGTTTATCTATTTAGCCCTTTCAAAGACTGATTTTTGGCTCTGTTTATTCTTTCTTGGATCTCTGTTTTCTATTTCCTTCATTTTTAGTGTTATGCTCATTGTCTTCTTTCTACACCTTCCTTTATAGCTTGAGCCATCTTTTCTGCTATAAGCTTTTAAGGTGAGGTCAGGAACAATTCTGAAAAGGCCAGAGAATTAGTATTTCAGGCTTTGTGGGCCACAGCAGTCTATATCACATATTCTTCTTTGTTTTTGGTTTTTTTTTTTTGAGTTGGAGTCTCACTCTGTCGCCCAGACTGGATTGCAGTGGCTGCTCCCAGCACCGCAGCCTCGACCTGCTGGGCCCGGGCAATCCTTCCGCCTCAGCCTTCCAAGTAGCTGGAACTACAGGCGTGCGCTACGACGCCCGGTTAATTTTTGATTTTATTGTAGAGATGAGGTCTCTCCAAGTTGCCCAGGCAGGTCTCGAACCTGCGGGCTCAGGCAATCCACTCAACTCGGTCTCCCAAAGCACTGGGATTATAGGCTGAGCCACTGAGCCCAGCCAGTTTCTGTTTTTCTACAACATTTTTGAAATGTGAAAACCAGCCGGGCGCAGTGGCTCAGACTGTAATCCCAGCACTTTGGGAGGCCGAGGAGAGCGGGTTGCCTGAGCCTGCAGGTTCGAGACCAGCCTAGGCAACTTGGTGAGACCTCATCTCTACAATAAATCAAAAATTAGCCGGGTGTGGTAGCGCGCCTGTAGTTCCAGCTACTTGGAAGGCTGAGGTGGAAGAATCGCCAGAGCCCAGCAGGTCAACACTAGGCTGACCGTGAGTGTGCCGCTACACTCTAGCCTGAGCGACAGAGTGAGACTCCAACTCAAAAAAAAACGTGAAAAACATTCTTGGCTCCAAGACTGTACAAAAACAGGCCAAGGCCAGATTGGGCCCGCGGGCCATAATTTCACAACTCCTGTTTAAGGCTTTAAATTTCCTGTACAGCATGCTACTAGCTGCATTCCAAAATTTTAAATATGAATAATTTTGTTACTGTTCACTTTTATTTTAGATTTCTATTGGGATTTCTTATCTGAGTTGTTTTATTTAGAAATCCATGTTTGTTTTCCAACTAAAAACTAACGGCTTATCTTTATCTTTCTGTATCCAATCTTTAATTTCACTGCTTTGTGATCAGAAAATATAGTCTATATGCTAATTATTCTTTGCTATCTCTCAAGACTTGTTTTTAATGGCATAGTAAATGTACATTATTTATAAATGTGCCTCAAATGGCTAAGAATGTATATTCTTCAACTGCTAGCTGCAGGATTCTATATAAATCATGTAATCATACTTGTTAGTTCTATTGTTCAAATATATATACATATTGCATACAGTAATATGTGTGTATGTATATATACACACACCTATCTTCACTACATATTTTGTTTTCTAATTATCGGTCATTGAGAGAGGTGTTTTAAGTTCTCAAGAGGATACCTGGTTTGTCCATTTATCTCTGTAACCCTATTAATTTTTGCTTTTCATGGTCTTAAGCAGTAATTTAGTTACCTGTATCAGTCAAGAATCGCCACAAGTGCCGCGTGAACTCAGTGCAGGAATGAGAGCTAATGAGGCCCTGGGAGCTAAGTGACCAGTCAGTCTATACACATCTCCACAGGAACGCAGGAGGCAGCCAGCAAGCCAGCCTCAACACACAGCCCAGAAAGGCACATCCCCAGGATCTGCCTCACAAGCACACCTGTGGCCCTGGCCTTGCTTCCACCTCCAATTCATGCACAACCCTCTCTTGGAACCACCAAGGAAGGAGATTCTGGCAGTAGGTCTTGCCTGGCCAAGCTGACACAACACAGAGCCACCACGGCCTGTGGCTGTGACCTGTGAGAGCAGCCTCAGCATCGCAGCATGGAGACCAGGAGGCGAGAGGCAAGAACAACTCACATGGACAGCAGCACTCCCTCCCCTCTAGGGTAACTGTGAGGATCCACAGTCATCAAAGTGCCTGGAACAATGCCTAGTACACAGTCATATGTTCAGCGGAGAACAAGTCTTACTTTAATTCTTACTCTCAGAACTTGAAATTAACTTGAGATAATAACCTAAAAAGACACTATCAAAAAAGAGGTTTAGGTCAGCCATCGTGGCTCACACCTGTAATCTCAGCACACTGGGAGGCCAAGTCGAGAGGACTGACTAAGCCTAGGAGTTCAAGACCAGCCTGGACAAACTGGCAAGCCCTCCTTTCTACAATAAATCAAAAAGTTAGCCAGGTGTGGTGACATGCACCTGTAAGTACAGCTACTTGGAAGGCTGAGGTGGAAGGATTACCTGAGCCCAGCAGGTCAAGGCTGCAGTGGCTGTGAGTATGCCATTGTACTCCAGCCTAGGCGACAGAGTGAGACCTTGGCAACTTGGCGAGACCTTGTTTCTACAATAAATCAAAAATTACCCGAGCATGGTAGCACACATCTGTAGTTCTGGCTACTTGGAAGGCTGAGGCAGAAGGATTGCCAGAGCCCAGCAGGTCGACACTGGAGTGGCCATGAGCGTGCCACTGCACTCCAGCCTGGGTGATGGAGTAAGACTCCAACTCAAAAAAAAAAAAAGAAAGAAAAAAAAGAAAAGCCATCAGGATGCATACAGCAGGAAGGAGGGCAAGAGGAGGGCAGGAAGAGAGTAGGTTGGGGGGGAAGTGGCCCCTGTTCAGCCATTCTGTTCAGTTCCATCAACCTCTTGGAACACAGAGGCCTGCGGAGGCAGTTGACCACAGCAGCTCGGCAAGTTCCCAGAATTCTTTCTCCCACTTACCTTTTGTCAGTTCATGTCTATCTTGATTGTTATATTTTTCACTGATTTTATTTGTAGAATAAAAGGAAAAAAAGAAAAAGAAATCTGAGTGGTTCTTTTGTTTGCTTGTTTTTTGAGTCAGGGTCTCACTCTGTTGCCCAGTCTAGAGTGTAGTGGCACAACTGCAGCTCACCACAGCCTCAATCTCCTGGGCTCAAGCGATCCTCCTGCCTTAGGCTCCCAAGTAGCTAGGACTACAGGCATGAGTCATCACACCCAGTTCATTTTTTTATTTTTTGTAGAGACGGGGTATAACTATGTTGCCTAGGCTGAACTTGAACTCCTGGGCTCAAATAATACTCTTGTCTCAGCCTCCCAAAGTGCTGGAATTATAGGTATGAGCCACCGTGCCCGGTTCTGAGTGTTAATTCTTAAAACTGGCCAGGTGCAGTGGCTCACACCTATAATCCCAGCACTTTGGGAGGCTGAGGTGAGAGGATTGCCTGAGTCCATAGGTTCGAGACCAGTCTGGGCAACTTGGCAAGACCTCATCTCTACAATAAACTTAAAAATTAGCCAGGCATGGTGATGCGTGCCTATAGTTCCAGCTACTTGGAAGGCTGAGACGAAAGAATCCCCTGAGTCCAGCATGTCGAGGCTACGGTGGCCATGAGCATGCCACTGCACTCCAGCCTGGGTGACAGAGTGAGACTCCAACTCAAAAAAAAAAAAAATTCTTAAAATTGCACTTGTCCTTGTGTAACTAAATGACTTCTATACATGACTGTGAACATAGAGATCTACATTAAAAGTCCTCTTCTCCACAGTACATACCCCATAAGGAGTAGAGTCATGTAAGCTGTTCCTGGAAAACTACAATGCATCTGAGTCAAGACAAGTGAGAATTCTGAAACACAAGACACTTTATTGTAGGGGTGGGGAGAGAAGAAGAGGTGAAGAAAACTGTGGGAATCCTTAAACTTGGCCCAAGTTCACAAACCTGAACTGAGTTTCCCAATCAAAGACAAAACAAGTCATAGCTCAGGGTTTCGAGTTTCCTTCAGACACAGAAGCTACAGCGCCAATCAACACTAGGAGAAGGAGGGAGTGGGGAGAATCCAGGATCCTGTTTAAACAGATACAAACAAAAAGCCTTTCACCCTGGCTCTGACTTCTGAATGCATATGCAGAGCCCTGAGGAATCCCACTTCCATGGAAGCCCAATCTACTCTGTCTATTCCCTAAACAGATTATGGGGGAGGAGCCAGAGGATGGTGTGCCAGCACAAAAGCCACCCACAGGCCACATAAGACACCATCCACAGGGCCAGGCCAGCACCACCCACCAGATGAGCTGGCCTGAAGGAGCCTTGGTAGTAAAAAGGGGCAAGAAAGGGGCTACTTTCTCTATTCCCACCCCTCTAAAAAAATCAGTTCCAGTTCCATAAATATTCAAGAAGCATGATGTGAATAACAAAAACATTAAAAATTTCAGGACCACATTACACCTCTCAGCCTTCAGGTTATAAGGAAAGCCCTCTACTTACTGGCAAATGTCCAACAGGAAACCCCCTAGATACTCTCACACACTACGGCCCTAACTCACAATGGCCAAATCAACTCCATTTGCATTTCTCTGTATCATTAAACTGTTTGAAACAATAAATAAAAGCCTGATGATAGTCTCAGATTTTTTTTTTTTGATTTTGAGTCTCACTCTGTTACCCAGACTGGAGTGCAATGGCCACTCCTGGCCACCGCAGCCTCAACCTGCTGGGCTCTGGCGATCCTTCTGCCGCAGCCTTCCAAGTAGCTGGAACTACAGGTGCGCGCTACCACACCCAGCTAATTTTTGATTTATTGTGGAGATGAGGTCTCGTCAAGTTGCCCAGGCGGGTCTCAAACCCGCGGACTCAGGCAATCCACTCACCTCGGCCTCCCAAAGTGCTGGGATTACAGGCTGAGCCACTGAGCCCGGCCAGTCTCAGATTTTTTAAAATGAGAATTCAAATACATCCTCAGTGCCTGGGGAAGACAGACGGCTGGGGAAGAGGTGCCCCAGGTAGGCCAACCCTACTGCATGCACACCACTTCTGAGGCAGGCGGCAGGTGAAACCCCAGGAGCTGCGGGACCTGGCCTGGTCAGTGTGGCCCAGTGACCAGAGGCCCAAGGCCTAGAATGCAGTTCTAGGCAATGAGGGCAAGTCTAGAGGAGGTGGCCCCTTCTCAGCCATTCTGTTCAGTTCCATCAATCTCTCAGAACACAGAAGCCTGCAGAGGAAAGCAACCACAGGAACATCTGGGGAAGGGTGCAACCTGCTCCTGGTCAGCTCTACAGTGATGGTAGGGCGTGTTCAGGCCTGGCAGGCAGCTTCTGAGTAGCCTGAGGGCAGGGCCTAGGCCCTAAGCCAAGCCAGAAAGCCTTTTAAGCACAATTCAAAAATCCAAGAAAGTCTTTTGGCCCTTCACTTGGTCTCAGACAGACTTGCCACCCAAAGGGAGAAAGGGAATTGAATGAAAGGATGAGAACACAGAGGGTGGTGGAAAGGGACGTGAAGACACAGGCACTTCAGGGAATGGGGCCGGCCACCCCCATCTCCACCTGTGGCCAGTTCATAAGCAGGACTCTGGACCCTCTCACTATGGAAATCCCAATCAGAAAAGAAAGACTATCAGGAAACCTAAGAAAGGTACTTCATACCAGGAGGGGGAGGAGAAAATACATAAACCTCATTCAAACAATGTGGCCATGGCTAAGCAGAGCAGGTGGTGGGCTCGGCACAAGATAAGTATGGAGCAAAGCAGAGTAAAGATGGGACTCGGCCTAGAGCTCCTCTGCGTTAGGTCACTCCTTCTTTTAAATGCACAGTGACCAGCTAAGATTGGGACAGACTCCCCTGCCCTGCCCCCCAGAAGCCTAGAATCTGATCAGTAAGGGAAACCACAGCCCACTGGCCACCCTCACTCATATCATCCCTGCCATCCTGCCCAGAGTCTCACTACGAGGGCAGAGCCCTAAGATATAGTGGTGAGGTTCTCTCTACCTGAAAACCATACCCCTAAAGCCAGTTCCCCAGGGCTACCTCAAGACCTTCATGGCACTCCCACCATGAGCACACCCCCGATAACAACAATCAGATTGGAAAGCTGATACCAGAGCTGATACTCTGGATTTTCTGCAGCTTTCATTTCCTTTTTCTCTTGCTCTGGACGCAACTTCCGATCAGGAACACAAAGGATTAAGATAAAATCTTGCAGTATAAAGTCAAAAAGGTGATGCCCATCCTTCATTAAAGGTATTCTGTGGAAGAGGCATCTCGTCCCCACTGTGCAAACGCCAGTGACGAGGGATGTTATGTGAACTAACATATCTGATGCTCTGAGCACACCTACAACTCCCTTTCACAGATAGAAAGACCAAGGCCCAGGGATGTCAGTTACCTGCCCAAGTCACAGAGGGAGAAGACGACAGAGCAAAGACTTCAGTCTCACAGCCTAGCCAAAAAGCACACACTCAAGAGGGGGATGGGAAGAAAAAGAAGGGGACCAAAGTAAGACACAGAGAAACATATGCCCGGGGGCCACATACTATGAATCACCACCCCCACCTCACCTCAAACGTGCCCCCAGGGAGAAAGGCCCTGACAGAGGCTGGCCATGCTGGCGCCCCCATACCCAGCAGCACCTGTCTGGATCCAGTTGTGCTCTCCGCTCCCTGTTGCACATACATACATTCACACACACACACACACAGGGACCAGTGCCACTGTCCCAAGAGCAACTGCTGCCCCGGATGCTCCTCCTTGATGCCCCTCCCTCTTCATCAAGGTCAGCACCCGCAGGAAGGCATTTCCTCCACCATCTGGAATGACTGCTCTGTCGCTCTCCAGGTTGGGTGCCTTGGCCAAGTTACTTAACCTGTGTATGTTGAATTCTGCAAGCCAGGTCATGGCAGTTTCTGTGATTAAATGGACAATGTAGGTGGAGCCCTCCGCACAACACCCCACACTCATGAACACTAAGGAAATGTCAGTTGCCACTGCCATTATGCTTCCTGAGATTTGACCTTCTTGGTCAAAAACTTAATCACAAGACTTACGGGTAATGCAGTGGGTAGAAAATACAAATAGTGGATTAAATGCCACTAAAAACAACAGAAAAGGACTTTTTCCTTTTTCAAAGTCTAAGCTACAGGATCAAAGAGGACAGAGAAGGTGGCAACAGGAACATTTAGGAGGCTGAAAGAGCATGGACCAGTGGCAAGGGTCTTAGACCCAAGAAAGCCCAGCCCACCAGAGCTCCCCTGATCTACATGACAGAATCCCTAGAAGCCTCAAGACCTGCAGCACCAGAGAAGTCTGGGGGTAGGAGTGGGGATAGGCCTAAACCAAGGAACACAGATGAAGCTCCTCCCACCTTTGCAGGAGACAGAGTTGACTCTCATAAGGTGGTCAGCAGAGGGCTCCCGGAAAGCAGACTTGTCACACTGAAAGCACTTGTAATCCCAGCTACTTGGAAGGCCGAAGCAGAAAGATCACTCGAGGCCAGAAGTTCAAGTTCTGCCTGGGCAACGTAGCAAAAACCTCTTCTCTTTAAAAACAAAACAAAAAACCAACAAGGAGAATACCCACCCCGATCCCCTGCCAAAAAAAAAAAAAAGCAAAAAGCAAAAAAAAAAGCCTATCATTAACTCCTCAGAGAGGGAAAAAAAGCTACTACAACCACTGCATAAGAGTAAGATAACAGCAGGGCTCAGTGGCTCAGCCTGTAATTCCGCACTTTGGGAGACTGAGGGGAGTAGATTGCCTGAGCCCGCGGGTTTGAGACCCACCTGGGCAACCTGGCAAGACCTCATCTCTACAATAGATCAAAACTAGCCGGGCATGGAAGCATGTGCCTGTAGTTCCAGCTACTTGGAAGACTGAGGCGGAATGAGCCCAGCAGGAGACCAGCAGGTCAACCGGAGCCCAGGCTCGACCGGAGCCCAGCAGGTCGAGACTGTGGTGGCTGGGAGCGGCCAGTGAGACTCCAACTAAAAAAAAAAAAAAAGAGTAAGATAATAAAAAAAAGAACACTCAGAACAAAAACTCTTGGAAACCAAATACAGCAGAAATGAAATACTTAACAGAAGTGTCAGAAGATAGTGTTAAGGAAACTAAACATACTAAGGATAAAGAAAAGAACCCACAGATGAGAAACAACTGCATATTAAGAATCAGGAATTACCATTTATACAAAATTCTAGAATAGGTAAAACTAACCCATGGTGCGGGGGTGAGGGGGGATCAGTAGTTGCCACAATCTTACAAAGAAAGAAAAGGCATAATAGAACTTTCTGGGGTGATTATAATGCTCTGTGTATCTTGATAGAGGAATACACTTGTCAAAACTCATTAAATGGTACTCTTAAGATCTGTGCCCTTCACTGAATGTAAATCTTACCTTTAAAAGAAGAAGCAAACTAATAACAATATGCCTGCTGAAGTGCTTAGGGGTAACGTGTACTGATGTCTGCAACCAACTTGAAATGCAGCAAAATAAATAAGATGGATTGATGGACAGAAAAAGGGAAGGAAACATGGATAGTTGTATGTTAATTATAGACTCTAGATGTTGGATATATTAGAGTTCACTGCAGTATCCTCACAACTTGCATATTTAAAACTCTTCAAATTAAAATATTAAGGAAAAAAGAATCAAGAACCAGAATGGCATCAAGTTTTAACAGCAGGACTAGAAGATTTTTTTTTTTTCAACAGCAGGACTGGAAGCTAGAGGACTAAAGAACACTTTCAAAGTTCTGAAGGTAAATGATTTCTGGTCTAGAGATCTATAACCAGCCAAATTATCAATCAGGTCAAAGGATAGAATAAAGATATTTTGAACTATTCAAGGTCTCCAAAAATATGTTTCTTTCACACTCTTTCTCAGGAGTCTATAAAAGGGATATGCTCCATGCCAAAATAAAGGATTAACCTTAGAGAAAAAGATGACATGGGGTCCAAAAAGCAAGCTTTCCAACACAAAAAAGAGGTAGAAAAAGTCCCCTGGGTAATGGGGAAGGTAGGTATGGAGGCAAAAAGAGCAAAGACAGCTCAACTCTCATTTTCCATAAAGGAAAGTCAACAGACAATACCTAAAACTGGGAGTGGAGAGGGGGACAGATGGAACAGAATTAACAATAGATTAATATTCTTTGAAATCAAGGAGGCAAATATCAAAATATTCTGCTACAGAAAGTCAAAATGGTGCTTTTGGGCAGAAAGAATGGACATGCAGACAACTGGCACACCTCCCACTGACAGAGTCCCTCAGGTCCCCATGAATCTAGGCTGGCATGCAACTGCTGGCAAGTAGAGTCTGACAGAAGTAATGCTCTGGCAATTCACAGCCCAGCCTTTTGGAGGACTGGAACCTCCCACCTTCTCTCTTGTAGTCCTGAGCCTTTGTAAGACCAACCACCCTAGGGAGCCTCTGAAGTGGTACTAAATGGAGAAGGAGGAGGGCCAGGTGAACCCAGACTTCCAGCTGTCCCCTCTAGGACGCAAGCAGGTGAATGAAGATGTCCTGGAACCTTCAGGTCAGTCAATTGCTGGCTTAATACCACTGAGTAACCCAGTTGAAGCCCACAGACTAGAAGCAGCACCCAGCTGAACGCTGCCCTAACTTCTGACCCACAAAATCACCAGACATAATAAAATGGTGGTTGTTTTAAGTCACTAAGTTTGGGGCAGATTTTTGTTTTGTTTTGCTTTGTTTTGAGTTGGAGTCTCACTCTGTCACCCAGGCTGGAGTGCCATGGCACAATCATGACTCACTGCAGCCTGAACCTCCGGGGCTCAGAAGATCCTTCTCTCTTAGCCTCCTCTCCCCTCCCAAGTAGTTGGGACTACATGTATGTGCTACCATGCCCAGCTATTTTTTT